CTAAAGACATGTGCCACCACGCCTGGCTCTGATTCAGCTTTTGACATCTGCCAAAATATTAAAAGTTGGTCATATTTGTTCTTTTCCTTCTCAAGAACTCTCTAAACTGTCATGAGGAGACCCAAACAGTCTCTCCCATTAGGCCAGTGAAAACAAAAAGGCAGGCTGCATGTGGTGATACACACCTTTAATTCCAGCATTTAGGAGGATCTCTATGAGATCAAGACCAGCCTGATCTACATAGTAAGTTCCAGGCCAGTCAGGGCTATATAGTGAGACTCTGTCTCACATACATGCCATGGTGTGCCCATATACATGTATGCACACAAAGTAAAGAAAAATTAATTGGGGGGGGGTATCTTTTTGAGACAGGGGCATCTCCCTGTAGCCACAGCTGGCCTGGATTCACTAGAGAGACCAGGCTGGCCTCGAACTCAAGAGATCTGCGTACCCTGCCTCCTGAGTGCTGGGATCAAAGGCATGTACCACCATGCCCGGCTCTCTGGTCTTTGTGGACCAAAGCACCAAGTGCATGGGTACACACTCTTGCCTGTCCTTCTGTGGCCAGTTCTGCTGGCTCTGGCTGAAGTGCTGCAGGGCCATGCCCTGTTCTGCCCAGTTCTGCCACTCCACCTCTACAGAGTACTGATCAAGTGTTCCTCTTTTGATTCCTAGTTCATACACAGACCCCCAAATTCTTCCTCTTCTCTGGCCTTGCCTAGTACTTTTATCACTTCCTTTATTTCTTCCTCCTAAACATAGGCACCCTCTAAAGGTCTGATCTGACTTCATGGTTTTGGCTCCGTAAAAATGCTAATACACAGTGAAATCAGCCCTACCATCTCACCAAACTCTTTCTTCTCTCTGGCCTACAGGAGTACTACATGAAAGCTGAACCCCCTCAACACACACTTAAAAGCTCTTACCAGAAGAGAAGGCAGCACATGGCTCAACAGATCCCCCAAGTGAGGTCGGCCCAGGCCAACTGCTTACCCACAGCACCTACAACTCCTCCAACTGTCCTCTTGGCTTGTCTCTCCTGTCTCATCTGGCCCTGATCTTCATCAAAGGATGTTACAGAAAACCCACTTCCTACAAGTGCCTCCAGAGGGCACTCTAACACCAGCTCAGAGACCCACTCAGCCATCCACAGATGACCCAGTGAATGCCACTTGGGATTACTACCTTTAACTGGCTGCCAAAAACCCTGTAATCTGTACCTCTGCTTTGTGTAGGCTCCCCAGTTCCAGCTGTTGCCACAGGTCTCAGTAATAAGTTACCAAGCACTGATTAACAGAGAAAACTGACAAGTTTGGGGGGGCAACTCTGAGTACTAAGTGTTTCAGATCAGTTTTATTGTGTTAAAAGTATACCTCTAAAAATGACCTTGAATGTCTGGGGGACACAGCAACACAGACAATGCAGAAGAAATGGGTTCTAATTCTTTTCACTTTCACTGTAAACATAAGAGAATTTGCAGTCCTTGGACAAAGATTTGCTCTGGCTACCCATTTCCTTACAAGCTCTGCCACAATACCATGGAACATGCTATTCAGATGTGGAAATAAGCTGATTATTTTATGAACCTGCAGGGCTATGAAAAATAATGAACTCCAGAACAGCTTTGCTGAGTTTCTTCTAAAACATCAGGTGACACAGAGCCACCGCCTGTTCCAGAGTTGAGAGGCAGGTGTAAAAGCATGCCAAAGTCTGGCAGCAATACAAATCACACCTACCAGTAACCTTGAACACTTTGGATACCTTCCAAAGTAAATTTCACTTAAAAAAAAAATTTTATTATCATCTATTTTGTGTGTATGGGTGTACTGCCTACATGTATGTAAGTGCACTCGTGTCGTGCAATGCCTGTGGAGGTCAGAAAAGGGTGTCAGATTCCCTGGAACTGAAGCTATGGATGGTTGTTAGCCGCCACGTGGGTGCTGGGAATTGAACCTGGGTCCTCTGCAAGAGCAGTCAGTGCTCTTAACTGCTGAGCCATCTCTCCAGCCCCGTAAGTTTTACTTGTTAAAAACAAAAAACTTCTCTTCTTCCAGGGTTGGGTTGGTTCAGTTGGTAAGAGTGCTTGCCTAGCATGTATAAAGTCCTGGGTTCCATCCCCAGCGCCTTATAAAAACAGGTGTGGCAGTACAGATCATCAGCTAGTTAGTGAGTTCAAGGCCAGCCTAGGATACATAAGACCCTATCTCCCCCATTGCCTTCACACATACCCCAAATGGGGCAAAACCACTTGACTGAAAAAGCTTTCCTCTTCCATGACCATATCACTCTCCCACAAAGACTTGTGACCTTACTTTAAAACTGGGCTCACCAGCATCTACCTGCCAATTTACTTTTTCCTGGATACCCAGCCAGGCTTTCACATATTCTGGAATTCTGGTCCACAGACCCAGCACCATGAACCTAAGAGAAGTGAGCAGGAGCTGAAGTGAACTGAGCTGAATCTCAGCTCCTCTCCGAGAAGACTAGCTGAGGTGAGACAAAGGAGCACCTTCTGACATGGCCACACTAGGAATGTGTCCAGTGGAGAGAATGCAGTGGAGAGGCTGCAAGGGTAGATGGGCACTAACAGACAGAAGGGAGACTGGGTAGAGCACAGCCACACTGACCCTTACATGTCAGGCCAGGAAGCAAGCTCAGATTCATATAGCACTCCTCCAGAAACCATCAATACTGGCTCTCCAGTGACACCACCCTCCTTCCTCTCCCAGAAACTCTCTGGTTATCTCTGCAGGCAGAGGTTCTCTCTCTCCCTTGTCCTTTGAGAAGCCCACATCCAACTCTGTCCCAGCATGTCCTCACTGTGCTCCACATGGACTCATCTGCTCCTAGAGATGTGACACGGGCAATGACCAACTCCAAAATCTCTACCTGTCCTCTAAGGGCCAGAGAGCCACTCTATGTCCTGGCCTCTCCGTACCAGTTCATCATCATTATGGAAATCACCCCAACTGGCCAGTCATACTCTAGTTGGGTACCTGACAGGAGGGCCACTAACACTCAAAGAAATCCTACAATCTACTCACACAGAAGTCTAACCCAATTCATACCCCAAAGATTACTCAAATATCATGAAAATCACAGCCCAGTCATCTGCAATAATTCCATCCAAAATCAACAGTGCAGCCTAAGCTGTACCACAGCTTAAATAATTTGCAATGTATAATTGTATTTCAAAAACAAATTACCAGGCCGGGCGTGGTGGCACACGCCTTTAATACCAGCACTCAGGAGGCAGAGGCAGGCAGATGATGATCTCTGTGAGTTCAAGGCCAACCTGGTCTACAGAGTGAATTCCAGGACAGCTGGGGCTACAGGGAGACCCTAACTCAAAAGACCAAAAAAAACAAAAAAAATTACCACATAGGAATGACGACTTCAATAATGGAGCTGAGCATTGCACCCAGGCATTCAAAAAGCAAGGAATACATGCATTATAAAATCATTCATTCTTCACAAAGCCTGTAGGAAGAACCTGTGAATGAACTGTAAATCCTTCAAATTTAGCATGTCCAAACTCAAAGTTGTCCTTACAGCAGCAATTTTGGTAAATGGGTCCCTCTATCCCCTTAAGTGCCTAAGCCAGAAACCCAGGCACCATCTGCCTTCTCTACCAAGCCCTGTACCCACCGCCTCCCCAGGCCTCTGTAACTGTGTCATTGCCCATCTGTACTGTCTCACCGGAACTCAGCCCACCACCGATATTCCCCCAAAGTCTCACTTCCTGCTAACCCATCATCCACTCTAACATAACCTTTCTAAAATATCTAAGGGGGTGGGAAGGAGGGCACTGGAGAGATGGCTCAATGGTTAGTTAAGAGCACTGGCTGTTCTCACAGAGGACCTGGGTTCAGTTTCTAACATACATATGGTGTCAGTTCCAGGGGATCGCGTGCCCTTTTCTGACCTCTGTGGACACTGCATACATGTGGGTGCACTTATATACATGCAATTCTCATGCAAATAAATAAAAAAAAAATTTTTTTTTTTTACCATCCAATGGATTGTTCTTACTCTGCTTACAATGTCTCAATGGGTCCCATTTACTTGCATTGCAATTTCCAAATGTTTGTGACTTTAAAGAAAAGTGCACATCTATTTACTATGCAGCTAACAGGTCCCCAATATAAGGTATTTTGTGAAATGAAATGTTCCTTTTTGCTTTTGAGACAGGGTCTTCCTGTAGCCCCAGCTGGTCTGGAACACACAGAGATCACCAGCCTCTGTTTCCTGAGTGCTGGGATTAAAAGCATGTGCCACCACATCCAGCTTAAATGTAATCTTTGTAAATATAAAAAAAAAAAATTAAGTTACCCAACATTCTAATACCCAAAGTCCATAATTCTTAGGATTTTCATTTAACTTCTTCTAAAACAATTTTCCACTCACAGGTTCTTGAGGAAGGTAACTAAGATTTCTATTTAATCACTTCATGTCTGCAACTATGTATCCTGATCTTCCACTTAACAGTCATTAAGCATTTTAATATATTTTCTTTATAAACACTGTAAGTGGCAACATTATCAAGTTAATGTATCATAACCATTCTGTTGCAATTAAACCCTTAAAAACAATTCTAAATTTATTTTGTACATAAAGCTTTTTTCTACATTTAAAAATACTCCTTTAACAGTTCCTCTGTAAGGAAATAGGAGTACTTTATGTCTTGATGCAGCACTTTACTACATCCCTTTAAGTACCAAGTACAATGATTTATTTGACCAAATTTAGGTCTGTATTAAACTGGCAGAAATTATGGCAGCTTCCTAAGTTAATGCTCACTATAAACACCACTGAAATACAAATGCACATGGAACAAAAACTGGCTCCCAGCACTTCTCTACAGAAGTAATTATTTTCCATGGACTCTTCTAGACCCACTTTTGTTTGACTCAAACACAGAATTATTTTGCTCTGCAGATTATAAAAATGAGTTTACACATGCTTCTTTGGTTCAGCTGTGTCAAAATAATCCAGTCTACCTCTTTCATAGATGACACGCTGCTGGATGATACAGTCACAACTTTCCTGTGGCTCCTGAAGCTCCTCTGTACCATGCTTCGCTGTCCTGGCACCTGCAACTTCTCATTCCGGATGCTGCCACAGCTTCACTAAGGTCTGCTGTGTCTTCCTAGAAGAAGCAGATGTTTCTGCATGTTTACTAACTTGCTTAGGCTAATCTGTAAATCATTAGTAAAAGGTCTTACAGCTCTTCATAAAGCTTTGATAGGTTTCTTCTTTGTTTCTCAGTGTTTTCTAATTTTGCTGTTATTGACAGGAGAATCTCAGTTTTCTGTCAGAGTACTTACAAATCACTTGATTTATTAGATGCTTCACGAATCCTTTACATGAAAGACATTAACATCACTTATCATTTGTTACAAGCATTTTCTAACTGTTAGTTTCCTTTTCTGGCAGGAGGGGTAACTAGAGATTGAAGCCCAGGCTTCACACATGTAAAGCACAGTGCTCTACCACTGAGCTATATCCCCTACCCCTCTGGTGAGGTTTTCAGCTATAAGGTTTTAAGTAGTTATATAGCCTAATATTCAGTTTTCATTACATTATTTTCCCTACTGTTTCTAAGGGAAGCAACTAATAACAGATTGTAGCCCTCTGCAGTGCTAAGGCCTTTGTCTTCACTCTAATACAGACTGCAAGGAAATCATGGCATTCCTTATTTATCAGTCCAGTTTAGGTACAACTGACCGCAGGGTTTCAGCTCAGCATTATGAACTCTTCTTTCTAGACATTTAATACCAGCTTCTATTTTTCTCTAGACACAGGGATATATTAGTGATGACTTCTACAACACAGAATTTCCCTTCCATGTGAAAATGTTTCCTTCTGGGGTGCTAATCAGGTCCCAGTACCTTTACAGATATTCTAAAGCCAGTGTCCACCGTTTTAGTGACCATCGCTCTACAATATGGCTAAATTTGTCCCATCTCCAAACTCATAATCATTCAGCCAAGTTCACCCCCAAATAGAAAATGTAATAGCATTTAAACATCATATCCAAGAACGAGGCCTCCCTTTTTGCCGAAGACACTTCCAGATCATTAGGGTATTCTTTGGCCTCCTCTCCAGGGAATGTACTTGTCTACAGAGGCTTTTTGCATTACTTGTCCTTATGTGATCAGAGCCAGTTTTCTTTCTGCTAGGTTACTGCTGGTATTCATAAAGCTGTGAGTTTTATACATTTTTCACATTAATCTTTTCATCAGCCTTTTCTGTCTCATTTTTCTGTTGTTCTTCCTCTAGACAACAGCAATCGACAAGTATTTTCCCTTCTCTTTTTTTTTCTAATTCTTTTAAATTTATTCCCTTCCTTTTAGATCTTTGCCACGCTTTTGTCATAGCTTTGTCAATACCTAAAGACAATGTCCCAATTTCTAAATTTTATGTTACGTATAATGCAGACAACCACATTAACATTTACACGTATTTTTTTCATTAAAAAGTGTCTCTTTGTGGGGGAGAGGGCCATACTTCTAGCTGAGGAGCTACTGACAGCTGATGGCTGCTAGGGGAGGGTAAGTCGGTTTTCTTTAGGGGTATAATCCTTAGTAGGTGCACTAGTGGATGGCCCCACACCAATGGGTATATAGACAGTACAAAATGGACTCAGTGGGTTATTTAAAAAAACAAGAAACAGGTATATGGATGGAGGATATAGAAAGGAGACTGAGAGATAGAAGGTGGATCTGGGACATGTTGAGGGCAAGAGTAAAGATGATAAATACACTGTATGCATGATTCTCAAAGCAAAGAATATTGTATTTTTTTATATTATCTTTTTGGTTGGGAACACAGCTCTAGTGACAGAGCACTTGCCTGGCATCTGCAAGGCCCTGGAAAACAGAAACACTCCATGTTTCGGTTCTTGCTTTTATTAAGTACTATTGAGTAAAGAATGAGAGTTTTTAAAAATCAAGTGTCTACTTTGGCTTCACTCTACCTACTGTGCAAATTCACGAGAACTCAGAACAGGCTATGTCTCTTCCAAGAGCACTGTGAAATGGCCGGCTTGGTCTTCTTACTTCAACTCTCCACACCCCCACATTCTGCAAGCGGTGACTGGAGTGGATGTTTAAAAGGGCAAATCTGCTTATGTCACTACCCTGCTTTAAATCCAACCTTTATAATGGCTTCCCAATTCACTCAGGACATCTCTAACCTGCCCTGCAAGACCCTATATGATCTGGCCCCCTGCCTGGCCACATTTGTTCTTGCCCACCATCATCTATCCAGTGGTGCCTTAGCTCTGCCACAGACACTGCTTCTCCTCCTTCTAGGGCCTTCCCACCTGCTGTTCTTCTGCCTGGAAAATTATTCTCTACTGTACCAACACCAATGCCTACCCATCCTTCAAATCTCAGCTTAAACCTTATTTATGTCCCCCCAAAGTCTTTAAGGATCCTCAATCTAAAATGTAGTCCCTGTTTATATATACTCTTTCACAGCTGGTGCTACCTAACTTTCCAGCAGATACCCAGTCTGTGATGAGACAGGCAGTTCTGGGATTAAGCTCTGATCCCTCCCTCCACAGACTGTAAACTCTAAGAGAACAGGATTGACCTCACATATATCAGAATGAAAAAAACATAGTTACAAGGCATTGACCTACCCCTTGCATCTTAAAATGTTTTCTCATTTCAACAATCTGGTAAAACTTTCTGATATGCCTATAAATTCAATAGGAATCTCTTTTCCAGAAAGGGACAAACAAGCTAATGAATCTACAGCTGTCACTAGGAAGTTTGCTTAAATATCACAGTAAGAGTTTTAGCTAGAGCTGGAGAGATGGCTCAGCAGAAAAAAGCACATATTGCTCTTTAGTAGAAAAAGGCACATATTGCTCTTCCAGAGGTCCTGAGTCCAATTCCCACCATAGCAGGTGGCTCACACACTTGTGCATGCACACACACACACACACACACACACACACACACACAATTAAAAATAAGTTTTAAAAATTTTTGGCTAGGGGCTGAAGAGATGGCTCAGTGGTTAAGAACACTGACTATTCTTGCAGAAGACCCAGGTTCAAATCCCAGCACCCACATGGCAGCTAACAACTGTCTGTAACTCCAGTTCCAGGGGATCTGATAGCCTCTTCTGTCCTCCTTGGGCATCGCATGATACGGGTGCACTGACCTACATATAGGCGTAACACTTATACACATAAAATAAAATAATAAATATTTTAATAAAATTTTTTTTGGGCTAACTTGAGCGGCAGAAACTCTGATTCCCAAGACAACTAATTTATGTGCCTTAATTTAAGGAATGGAAAAGCATTAGAAAAAAATGTGCTTTGTAAAATATTCCTTAGGAGACTTGAGTATTGTCAGTACTTCATAAAACTTAATAGCAAAACCACAAACTATCAAAGTTGACTACTATTAATATTCTGTGCTGTGTTCATCTGGTAAAAAATACAAATTATTTGTAAGTGGATGATTTGGGGATTGTCAAGGCTAATAAAACCAATCTGTATACTGATTCAGTCTCCCACTTCTATATTCATTGCGTGAGGTCTGTGCTGTACACAGGTATTACCATTACGATCAAAAACTGAGGCTTGAAGTGTCCTCCCCAAGGTCACAAGCCTCATAAGAAGTCACAACCACCCGAGGGTTGGGGTAAGCTCCCACATGTAACTTCTTACCCAAAGAGAAGGTCCATCATAAATGCCTCCTCTGTAATTAGCAAAGATTTGTGGCTCCTTTCACTAAAATGTCATCTTACCAGTGAACCACCACCAGTTAAAAACAAAACAAAGCTGCTTTTAAAAATTAAAACAAGCTTTTTGTGTTCGTGCTGGACTTGGAGGAAGCAGGCTCGGCCTAGACATGCAGAACGAGGCCGGCAAGTTCGTGGACCTGTACATCCAGCATAAATGTTCTGTGAGCAACCGCATCCTTCACTGGTGCGGAGGACCACGCATCCATCCAGATGAATGTGGCCAAGGTTGACAAGGTAACTGGCAAGTTTAATGGTCAGTTTAAAACCTATGCTATCTGCGGAGCCATTCGCAGAATGGGAGAGTCAGATGATTCTACTCTTCGATTGGCAAAGGCGGACAGCATCCTTTCAAAGAACTTCTGACCAGAGGAAATTGGGGAATGTTTGTTATAAACAGTGAAAACCAAAAAAATTAAAATTAAAATTAAAACTTAAATTGCCATCAGTCTGGGAAATGACTAAATAATCTATGATATATCCAAATTCTGCACCGCCAGGCAGCAGTTCTTAGAAATATTAAACTATCATATGCTAGAATGAGAAAAATACCGGGTACTAGTTAGCCAGCACTCATTAAAAGTAAAAAAATGATATAAGTCCTCACACGAAAGTACTTTAGAAGTACTTTAGAAGATCTAGGATACACTCCGCGTGCCATTCCCTAGAGATGAGTTGACAAACTTGTCATCTGTGATGCACTCACGTTTACAAGAAAACATCTTACTCTGCTCATCTACAACTAATTTTTAAATCTTAACCTGTGAGTTGAACAAGGTCACTCTTCTGTTCTGAGAAACTTCATGCCTGCCAAGGAAGTAGAGGCCATCTCTAAAAGAGGACCCAAAATACATGAAAAGAAGTTCCAGCCCGTTAAGCAATACATGGTTTAAACATTCCAAACCATCCCTGGGCAAGAAAGCAATAGCTTGGGAATATTATTTCCAATATCGAGACTCCTTTGTTGCAATAAACAAACTCTGAACGCCGACAGGACAGGGCAGGCTCCTCCTAGAGGAGTTGGGAGTTTGGCAGAAACGGTCTCACAAAGGAGCTGAGTTAGGAGAGGCGACTAGGCTGGGAGACGCGGCCAACGCATCTGGAAGGGAGAGCATGCAGGAGAGGGGCTGGTGGGGCTCGGCAGAAGCAGGGACGCAGGTTGCTTCAGTCCAGTACGGAGCCCCGGAGCCCCCACACGGTCGGCCGGCTTACCTGGAGAGAGCCCGGCCCCGGCTGCGGTCAGACAATGGAGGCGTCCGGCGGCGGCAGGCTTGCGTGCTGGGGGCGCGGGGCGGTCCTCATCACCTGAACGGGATGCCGGGCGGCCTCCGCCGGGACGGAGGGAAGTGCTGGGGACGACACCACAGGAAGCCATGCAGCGGGCCGCTCGGCACACCAGGTCCCCCAGCCCACGCGCGGCCATCGCCGCCCTCCCGGGACCCGCCAGGATCGGCTTCAGGGCGCGTCCCCACAGCCCCCTGGGGCCGCCGCGCTCACGCCGGCCTCGGTTCCGACAACAATGGGGCCCGGCCCGGGAGTCCACCTCCTGCGGGGCCTTGCCCGGCCGCTGCCGCCCCCCCGCCCGCCGTCCAGGCCCGCGTTCGGCTGCTCCGCCCCGGCCTGCGCCTCAGGGGGAGCCGCTCTGACCTTCCTTCCCTGCCATCCCCAAGGCCCGGGACCCGCCGGAGTGATGGCTTGTTTTTCTTTTCTTCACCCCACTCCACCGCCCGCTCGTCGGCCCACGCGTGCTCCAGAAAAGAAAAAAACGCAGAGACTACCGTCTGCCCGACTAACTCACTCCCAACTGAGGCTGAGTAGCGTCCCTAGGCCTCGGGCTCGGCGCGCCCACCGGCCCTCTCCTCCGGGGACACCTCACAGGTGCGCCTCCGAGCCGCGCGCGCGCGCTCCGCACACCCAGACGCCTCCGGGGGGACGGCGCGCGTGCGCACGCACGAGTCCGGCCAGCCCCGGGGAGGGGCGGGGAGACTAGAACATGGGCCGCACGCATGCGCGCCTCCCGATTCGCGCCCCGGCCCTCGCCGCACGGGACGCGCGTGCGCGCTCCCGCTGGCCTTGATGGTCGCTCCACCCTCTGCACCCGCCTTGGTTACCCAGGGCAACCGCAATGCGGCCGCACCTGAGCAATGCGCCTGCGTGTTATCGACGTCCCGCCGCTTTCCCTAATCCCGGCCCTCGCCTCCTCCCTTCCTTAACTGCCAGAGCGGGGTGTTGCCCCTTTTCCTCGCAGATTGAGGATCGATCCTTCGGGCGTTCCCCTCCCAGACCTGCCGCCGTGCCGGCGCCTCGTCCTCCCCTCAGACAGCCAGGGCTGCGGCGCCCGGCCGCCAACGGCTCCCGGCGTGCACCGCGGCGAGCGCTCTGAGGAGCCGGCGGGATGCGCCGACCCCGCGGCGCCCCGTGAATCCACGGCATCCCTCCGCAGGGCCGCAGCGCACACCCGCCCGCCGCCCCGCCCATGGGCCGCGGCTCACCACCCCTGGAGCAGGCCGAGCGCTGCAGCCAACTGAGGGAGCGTCGCAGGTAAGGCACACCACGCCCGCGCACCTGCCCGGATGAGAGGAGGGTCGCGAGGACCTCGCGGCGTCCTGTCACTGTCGCCCATGGGCTCCGCGCCAGGCTGCGCACCAGCGCGGCGGGGGAGGCGCGGCGCAGCGGCCGCAACCGCCGGCCCGGGGCGGGACGCGGGGCGGAGACTAGCCGCAT